TTTTGTAAACGTGAAGGGAAGAAAATAGTGAAGTAAGAGGGGCTGTCCTTGATGCACTGCAAGGCCAAACATTCCTGAAAAGGAAAACAAAAAATCTGTTGGGATAAGAGGTGCTAAAGACTGCTCCAGATGGGGCTCTGCTGTAAGCAAAGGTAAAATCAAAGACTATTTAATAATGACAGCAGTGGGGTTTGTCTTTGGAGTCCCCATACTGTGTTGCTGGTGGAGCTGATATAGAAATATTTTGGCCAACTCTTTTCCTTTTAAAACATGCCATTAAAAATAAAAGGGGGCATAATCTTCAGTAATACTAAGCAGACCCCCTTGTCAGTGAAGTACAAAAATACTAAGTCCTTCCTGCTGGCCAGATAAGCCATTATACATAGAAATAACAACTGAGAATAAAACAGCAATGATTCAGTTGTCAGAAAAAAGACAGTGGACCAGAAAATGATCATATTGCAGCACAAGTGAAGTCAGAATAAAAGCTTAAAATTGACAGTGTAAGACAGCAGGATTAGTCCTAGTGTCTCTTCAGTTTTGAGCGGAGGAAAAAATCCCCAAACCCGGAGCATTAGTTTCTGCCAGTTAAATTATAGTCAGGCAGGTGTTGTGCAAATTTTCTCACACTGCAATCCTAACCTCCCACAATCTTGCTATACAAACTGTGGGCTTCTCTTGAGAAGACACTAAATATGCCAAATTGGTGGCACTGTGTTATGAACATATGTCCATTAAAAATCACATTAAGGATTCCAAATGTTTTTCATTTGTGATGGCAGCAGGGCTCGAGTGCAGATGTCCACTGGGAATTCTAGACACTTAAGCATCAAATTACTTGTATTTAGGTAACACCTCCCATCAGAGGATCTCAAAGCATATCACAAACACACAGTAAGCCTCAAGCCCATATATAAAACACGCATAGTATTTGGTGCAATGAAATAACTGGAGCATATGCAAATCGGGGCCAAGATTTTTTTTTTTTCAAGAGTCTTCTCATTTAGAGATTCAGCTTTTAGATACCCAACAGACGGCATTAAAGGTTTAATCTGAAGATACTGCATTCTCATAACTCCAGGTGGCTCCCACAAAACAGCCCCAGAAGCAGCTTCTCCAATGGGCTCAGTTACAGTGGTCTTGAGGGGCGTACTGCTGTTTGCCCTGTATGTCTCTGCCTTCTGGAATCAGTGAGCTGGGAGATCTCACTGGTGAGAAACATGGGAATTAGTATGGGGGCAATGTAAGGTCTTTAAAAAGAAGAAAAAATTGTCGTGAATGTGAAGTTTATTTTCCATTTAAATGAGATTTTTTTATTTAGTAGTAACTATTACAATACTCATCTAATGGCTGATACAATTTCTTCGGGTTGAACTTTTTTTTGGCACTTTTTCTCTGTGCTTCTTGACACTTGAATGTGATGCTCATCAGGTGTCTTCTTGGAAGCTGTCAGATTATTTAAATGAGTAAATCTGACATTTTGCGATGATTGTATTCAACAAGTGCCCTGAAAGGAGTGTTTTCGGGGTGTTTTCTTTGATGGACACTATTCAGGCTGTTCAAAATAGAGGTTTTGAGCACTTCGACTTTTACTGACTTACTGGAACTCAGTGCAATAGATGTAACGGTTCTTAGACGCTCAGAAAAAATATCATAAGAAAGCTTAGCTCATTGCTACAAACCAAGGTGCAACAAAGCACTCTCAATGAGATCTGAAAGTTGTTCATGACACACAATAATATTCCGAAATTCTACTCCCCTCCCATTCCTAATTATCCTACATAATGTCACTTCCAAAGAGTTTGTCACTTGGGTTTTTTGTTATAAAATTGTAGCTTGTTTTAAAGATTCTCTAAGCTATTCTACTAATGGAAGAACATTGCTTCTTGATTGTTATTTTTTGCTGTGAAGCTGTGCTTATCTGATACTGAGCATACTGCAATTGCTGCTGGGCTGGATTTTGCACGAGCCCAGATCCAAGGGCAGCCCTTGCAAGCGTAGAGCTCAGAGAGACCAGGGCAGAGGCTGCTCCCTTAATTTCCAGAAGAAAACGTGAACCGTGCAAATTGCCTGCAGTTGCAAAAGAGCCTGTGACTGAGCCAAGTGTTTATTCCGGACCCTGCACACCCCTGTGTGATATTTCTGCCTCACAGCCCCTTTTCTTACAGGCAGCTCCTCAGCCCTGACACGGCTGTGGGAGGCCTGGGGGCTCTGGCCATACGGGGGAGAGGACGCTGCACACCCCTCTCCTTGTGTGCCACGTGAACCATGGGGCTGAGCCCCTGGCACCAGGCAGAACGGGTAGCAGCAAACTGGGAGCACAGTGCTTCCCTTCTTACCTCCCTCTCCAACCCAAAATGATACAGTATTTGTCTTGGGCAGATTGTGAGATAGAACATTTGTGGATCACTAAGGTGATGTAACTTTTTTGCCTGTCTTCAAATGGCTTGTTCTGATGGCAGAGGAATGAGAAAGGGGGAAAAAATACCCAGATTTATCGTGATTAGATTGCACTTTCATTAGCCTGTCCAGCATCTTCATCTTGATAACAAACATGCTAAAACTTCTCAAACAAATGGAATTAAATCTCAGCAGAGGGGAACATGCATTAGTGTGTGCTTATGGTCTCTGATGAAAGTCCCCAACCTTCGATGCTTAGTTTAGTATCAGCTTGAGTGATTAATCCTGGTCTGTATGTTAGAGAAAGTCCTGGCTGTGCTGCAGTCCATGCCAAGGCTGACATTATTCCACAAGCAGACTGGTTTCTTGCTTGTTATTCTTCTGCTTTGGCGGAGAAGCTATTTTTTGTTTCTCTTTTCCATTTTCTCTTGTAAGGAATAAAAACTGGAGGCTTGGCTAGTGTGGTACTGTGGCATATCCCCACGTTGCCTGTGAAGGATACTGGAGGTTTAATTCCCTCCTGTCGCGCTGGTGGTCCTTCTCAGCAGCGCAAGACAGTTTGGACTGATTTCACACCTGAATCTCAGGTAGGAAATGGCACCCCACATGCAGAGCAGCAAGTGGCTCCCCATAATGGTGTTTGCTCAATCAGTGGCTCTGAGCAGCACATTATTCACTCTTCATCACTCTCACCAGCTCGTTAGCTCTGGAGATAGGATTGATTCATGTAATCTTAACCCTGATAAGCAGTTGCTCTCTTGGAGATATTTCTTGAGCTGTGACTCTAATCTTGGGACTCTTCCCTGTAGGGACACTGTCCTCTTTTGTAAAATCCGTATTGGGGATCAGCGTGAATGTGAGTAATGGGCTCTGTAGTCACTGGTATCTGACCAGTGGCTGGGTATGTGTAACCCTGTCAAGCATGAGCTTGGGAGCTC